AATGTGTTTTTTTTACTTTAAACCGCATAAACACATTGCATTACACCAAATACACAAAATTATGTTCTTTTTAGCAACATCATATGACCACTTTAACACATTTTTCGTGCACTTCGGAGGCCTGGCCTTCGAAGTGTGCGCACTTAACCATCCCCTTGTCCAAATACCCACACTTGCGGTCTTGGCCACTTGAGAGCGCGTGCGCGCGACAAGAAGTAAGTGTGCAAGTCTGTCCCATGTCTTCAAAATGCCAAAGTGCAGTGCCCTTAATGGATACTAAATCCACACCATCTCGAATCTCGAATACCGCTCCAGAGCGCTATTCAAGGCTAAGTGTATCCCATCATGCATCATGTTCTGGAAATAAATCGTGAGACTTTTTGCAGAGATCTCGCGAGAGGTCACGGAAACCTTTCCAATGTAAGTTAAATATTAATATAATAATTAGATATTACAAATAATTTGGTAGAAAAACAGCGTTTTTACTTTTATTGGTGCAAAGATGAGTTGTGGTGATATTTATTTTGTACAACATTTGCAACTGCTTTTTATCATTTAATTAGAAGCACCACAAATTTAAATTATGTCATGTTATAGGGACTACTGGACAGACGTTTAGAAGTTGATTTTAAAATGCAAAGTATGTCAAATTAAAATTAAAATAAAGCTGTGTAAACACTTGCATTTTTACAACACTATAAGTGTGTCCCATCAGGTAATGAAAAGTTCGACACACACTTGTGGACTTCACACCCACTTGAAGACTTCGGCCAAATAGAGGAAATACGTCATTTAAGTAATCAAGTGGTCAAGTGCAAAAACTGCAAGTGTGGGTATTTGGACAAAGCCCATGTCTTGCAGTCTCTACTAATGAGTTGATGAGTTGAATCAGGTGTGTCTGATAAGGGAGACATACAAAATGTGCAGGGCTAGGGATCCTCCAGGACAGTTTGAGAATCACAGCTGTATATGAATAAAACATCAGGTCATGCACAGACCATCTTGTCTCTTTGAATTTAAATCTAGATTTATTCACACCGGCCTTTGAAAACCTCTATGTGAGCACACTTGCCAGAAAAAATTGCGGGGGACGAATTTACGTGTTATTAAAGGCACATCCCCCGCATATTCTAAACCCATGCCTACACTAATAAAATTTTTCAACATTTAAAAAAAAATTTAATTCATTAATTTATTTAATCTTTTTTTTTTTTTTTTTTTACTATACTTGTACAATGGATGTAGAAATTTTCTTGGAACACAGTTTTTACCAATATTTCTTTACAATGAAAGTTCAAAATGTGTTTGAAATAGTTTCAGC